GAGTCCAGATCCTGGTCAACACACCCTCCCTGAAGTTACCACCAATGGAGACAGGCACTCGGATTGCCTGGACTGAAGTTAGGAGACTGAGTAGAACATTTGTCACAGTGAAAAAAACAACAGGATATACAATTTTCACAGTTAGAATTAACTTAGGAGAGCTGACATTAACTAAACCTCGAAAATCTGAGCCTTGAAGTCATCGGTGGCTTTTGGGCCTGTGAGAGCGCCTTCCATGGTCTTTAATCATGCCAGGGTGGGGTGACATTCAATACTCATGGGCTGGGCAGTGGGTGCCCGGTGCAGCCGGTGACCGGGAAGCCAGCTCTGTGGCTTCATGGGAATGACAGTGCACTCTCACTTCTGGAAATAGGGTCCGTGCGTGGCTTGCTCTGTGTATTCCGTAGTTTAGCATGTTGCCTTCGGTTATGGAGTGGCACTCAATGGCTCTGCACTTCCATTGGTGGGATGAGAGGCCAACCTGTTAGACAGAAAGACTCAGGACTGCAGACAGATTTGTCTCTCTGCTTATGTGGCTGTGTATTGGCTCGACTTAAAGTAGTCGGGAGGGAGGACCACACCTGGGCAGAGTCTGAGTTCAGATCAGCTCCTCCACTCGGCAGTGATTCAGGGCAAGTGACTTAGCCTCTGGGGACTGACTTTCTCAGGAAGGAGACGTTGAAGTACCCACTTAAAAAAAATTATTTCTTTATTGATTTTAGAGAGGAAGAGAGAGATAGGGACATCAATGATGAGAGAGAATCATTGATAGGCTGCCTCCTGCACACTCCCCCTCTCCCCCACCCCACTGGGGATCAAGCCCTCAACCCAGGCATGTGCTTTTGGCCAGAATCGAACCTGGGACCCTTCAGTCCACAGGGTGACGCTCTATCCATTGAGCCAAACCGACTAGGGCAGAAGTGCCCACTCTTGACCTTCCTCTCATCTAAAACATCCGAGAGCACTGCAGAAAAGAGAGTCCATATGAAAACCAATCGCAGTAGTTCCCAAAGCAATTAAACGACGCAATTTAATCTTTACAATCAGGTAGTAAGGCCAGCTAGCAAGTCAGGTGAGACTGATTATCCCTGGGTTACAGAAGAAGAGACTCAGAGATGAACTAAGTGTAAGATACAGGATCAGAGCCTAGTTCAGTGTGATTTCTATCACATCTTCTAAGAGAAGGAGTGAGAAAGACAAGAAAATGGTGTGTGTGTGGGAGAGGGTTGGGGTTGGGGACCATTGTGGGAGGACCCCAAATCCTTGCTTGAAATTGAGTGTGGCAGGATCTCTTTTTATCAGTGTTTTTGAGTTGTGATTCTAGAGGTTTGAGATCAAGGTCCAACATAAAGCTGGCATGAGAGACATTATGGTTTTTTTTTTTTTTTAAAGCTTTGGGCGAAATGTTATTTTTTAAATACATTTTTATTGATTTCAGAGGAGAGGGAGAGAGAGATGGAAACATCAACCATAAGGGAGAATCACTGATCAGCTGTCTCCTGCACGCCCCCTGCTGGGCACTGAGCCTGCAACCCAGGCATGTGCCTTGACCAGGAATCGAACTGCCTGGTTCATAGGTCGACACTCAACCACTGAGCCACACCGGCTGGGCTGGGTGAAATTTATCGTTCCTCCTCGCAAAGTGATTATTTGTTCTTGCTGACTCATAACGTGCCGTGTTTCTCTGAATCTGTAATGTCAGTTACGTACATTTGCACAACTGGTTTTTGGATGAGTTTCAGAGAGGGGTTACTGATTAAGGATGAACTTCTACTCCCTGAGCAGAAAAGACTCCTAGAGATTGTCCCTACAGGGCCACTAAGCCGGGGGGCCCTTCCGTCCTCTCTGGTTGTGTTCCATTACCTCCCGGGAGGGCAAACACTGCTATTTCCACCAGCAAATTGACGAGCAATGACACGAAACTTCACAAATCCGCTTTGATTTCCAGCCAGGCAGCCAGGCTTATCGGAGAAGGGAGTTTGCAATCTTGAGCAAACACATGTTGACTTTCAGTATTGGCGTCATTATCGCTCGCCCCCAGGCCTTGTTTTCGCTGCCCATTTTGTAAGTCAGTACGCATCCCACCTGCCAGAGGGTCCGCTGTATCTGGATGCACAGAAGGAAATCTGGTGGGGCCTGGCCGGGGCAGAACGGTGCTCGGAGCCTGCCCTGCCACAGCGGCAAACCCCTCTCGTAAGCCGGGGAATGCTTTAAAGATGCGTTGTTGGCAGGCCCTGCTAAAGAAATACAGGATATAAAGGCGATAAAACCCAAGACAGCAAACTGGCTCTGGAGAGCTCCTTTGAAGTTGGCTAAGTGGATTATCAGTGGGAGGCTGATATATATATAAATGAACAAACACACAAGCCCTTACTGCTAATTGGAGGTATCGATAAAGCAGGCTGGCCGTCCTGGCGCTGGGGCCCGCTGTGCCCATCATGGCGGCAGTGTGGAAACGCTGTACCCCGGGCACATGCCAGCATCCTCGGATGGATGCCCTCAGCCAGCCGGCGTTGTGCAAATTGCATCAGGGTTCACAGCACTGCTTCTCTCACTGGGGTGAGCAGAGAGGAAAAGCAGGGCCCTACTTTGCCTTAGGAAGTACATGGGAGCTGGGGAGGGGACCCCACTGGCCGAGACACTGACCTTCCCCTGAGGGAGACCATCTGGTGGATCAGGGAGAGCCTGGCTTTTGCCCTCACGCAGACTTTGTGTTAGAAAACCTGGCTTTCTCGCCAGCTAGCTGTGTGACTTCTGGTCATTTGCTAACCCTCTCTGAGCCTCAACTGCCACTTCTTAAAATCAAATAGGACCCAGGGCTATTATTAACAAACACAGCATACACACGAAAACTGTGGCTTAGCGAATATTGGTTTCTCATTCCTGCCTTGGGGAAAAAACAGTGATCATTTTTCCAGTCCAACCCGTCCCCTTCCCTGTTACCAACATTTCATCTTTCTTCCTCTTTCCTACACTTTCTTGGTAGAATTCAATGAAGCAGAAATCTGATTTCTTGCCACTTTAAACCAAGCCCATGCAGAGTTTCTTTTCATTGCCTTCCGTAAGGCCCCTTTATCCTGTGGGAAGTGCAGGGGGAGATAAAGTAGCGTGGGAGTATGCATGAGAAGACCAAGATCAAGGAAAGGGGCCTTTTCAGAGAGTTGACCAGGTCAGCTCTCTTTTTATGGAAAGGCAACATGGGCCTCTCTTTAATTTTTCTGTCCCTTAATTTTATTTACTTATGCTTTCCTTCCTTCTTGCCCAATGCTTTCCCTGTTTGTATTTTGTGGATGTTTAATTTCTTTTTTCTTTTTAAAATATATTTTATTGATTTTTTACAGAGAGGTAGGGAGAGGGATAGAGAGTTACTGTAGAAACATTGAACAACTGCATCCTGCACACCCCCTACTGAGGATGTGCCTGCAACCAAGGTACATGCCCTTGACTCTTCAGTCCACAGGTCGTTGCTATAACCACTGGACCAAACCGGTTAGGGCTGGACGTTTAATTTCAATATCTTTCTTCATTTCTCTTCCATTCCCCAGATTTTGTTGCAAGCATCAGAGTCCAGAATTTGGTTTCTGTAGCTACTGTTAGAACCTTCAGCCGAGACTGGTTTGGTTCAATGGATAGAGCGTCGGCTTGGGGACTGAAGGGTCCCGGGTTCGATTCTGGTCAAGGGCATGTACTTTGGTTGCGAGCATATCCCCAGTAGGGGGTGTGCAAGAGGCAGCTGATCGATGACTCTCTCCCATCGATGTTTCTAGCTCTCTATCTCTCTCCCTTCCTCTCTGTACAAAATCAATAAAATATATTAAAAAAAAAAAAAAGAACCTTCACATGAAAATGAATCACCAGTCTCCATCACATTTTATCCTGTGCTCTACTGCATCCCCGAGACACAGGGATTTAGTCACACTCTCCTCTCCCATTTCCTCTCCCTTCTTCACTTTCATTACTGTCTCTCCTTCCATGCCTGTGCCCTGGGCTGCTGCCCTCTGTTTAGCTGTGCAGCAGGTCCTAGGAGAACTTGGGCTGGTAATCCTGGTCTGAGCCTGATACTGACCTCTGCATCACAAAGTGACATCATCCTGTAAGTGACATTGATTAATGGGACTTTTGAAACCGCTAGATCTGAATGGCTCTTAGAGAATGAACTATTCTTCCAGCCAAGCATTTTTTTTCCAAAGTGGTAGAGGATGTGACAACCTTTACGTACTTTCTGTAGTGAAAGAGCAACTCACTATCCATCTTGAGTGAAAACAGCTCAAGTTTGGAAAGTTGAGTAAATACTGGTAGGGTCACCGAAGGAGGAACACACGAGGCCAAAAGTGTTAGGGATCATAAATTTATCAGGTCATCTGGGTACCAGATGGGCTGAGTCCCAAAATGGCGCCAGCACCCAAAGACAGGGAGTCAGAGGTTTTAAAAGGACTCTAGTCTGGTTTATTCTGGGCAGAGAGTTCTCTGTGCAGGTGGGATCCTGGGAAGGTCTGGAGGGGAAGGATAATGGTCTTAGCAAGTGGAATGGGGTATTAGCAAATGGCATGGGGACTAAATGAAAGAGAATGTCCGTTGTGAAGTGGCCAAGAGAGGGATAATCAATTCAACTATTTGATCAGATCTGACAAATACGTGTTTACATCTTTTTCATGTTCTTCATTGAAATGGCATAAAAGGAACAGTTCTCCTGTATTCTTGGTTGGACGCATTCCAAGACCATCAAATGAGACATTTCCGAAATTTGAAACCTGCAGGCAGTCAAAAAGGGCTCTAGCGTCAGACAGCTCCTGTCGTGATCCGGTGGCCCCACCAGGCTATTTTAGGCATCTTATTATCTTAACCGTGAATCTTCCTCTGGGTTTTTTTTTTCTTTTTCTAAAATGATGCTGTTGAGATTTTCTGTAGCTTAGAGCACAAAGAGGACGGGGTCCCCAGGTTGTTTCTATTGGCTCACACTGTTTCTGTTTGCCTCTGCGCTTTTTCAGTTTTCCGGAGCTATGGGGACTTGCCACCTGCCAGTCCTGGTCCTAGGCTGTCTCCTCGCAGGTATGGATCTTGGTCTTCTCCGTTTGTTACCGTGGGGGAAGCTTGCTTTCTCAGTTCTGTGCTCTGGGGCATGTTACTGTACAGCCCAAAGGAATGAAGAGAAGTAGAAAATTATAAGGTCACAAACCTTCAGTTCCCTATTTCAGAAAGAATGTTCTCTAGGGGCAGTTTTAGTATATGTCAAGCCTAGCATTGAAATATTGTTAGGAATAATCGTCTAAATTCACCCACTGGCCTCTTCCTTTTCCTGGGACATGGCTTTCCAGTCAAGGTGGGTCAGAGAAATTTAAAAAAAAAAAGTTTTTTAATAAAAGAAAAGTTCTTGTCCAGGAAATTACCTGTCTTAAGTCATACCTGTCTTAACCGGAAGAGGCTTAAATTGTTGGAAAGTCTTAAAACCACCTTTTCCAGCTATTTCTTTTTCTTTTTTTTTCTTTTTTTTTTTTTTAAATATATTTTATTGATTTTTCACAGAGAGGAAGAGAGAGGGATAGAGAGTCAGAAACATCGATGATAGAGAATCATCGATCAGCTGCCTCTTGCACACCCTCCACCAGGGATGTGCCCGCAACCAAGGTATATGCCCTTGCCCGGAATCGAACCTAGGACCTTTCAGTCCGCAGGCCGACGCTCTATCCACTGAGCCAAACCGGTCCCGGCACCAGCCATTTCTTTTTAAAGAATCTAATAGGATATTTGACTCTTGGGATTCTTACCAACTCTTTTTCAAGGGAAGATGCCACTGGAGCCATTTGTTGAAATATTTATTGGATGTTTATTTAGCTGTCATCTAGATATTTGTGCATTGCAGATGTTCACCATGAAACCAACGTTTTTTTTCCAGGCTGAAGAGTTAGCGTAAACCTGTTAATGTCTTTAGGTCTAATTATATGGAAACAATAGAACTGAGCAAGATCAGTGACTTAGCTCTAAACTCCGCTAATTAAATGCCATCTACAGGGTCTTAGGTGACTCACATGTGCTTACAACTTCCATCTTAACCAGCTGCAGGAGTCAGTGGGCACATATTAAAGGGTGGGTGGGATTCCCCATATTGGGCTCTGAGGGAGATTAGAGGCCATTAATTAATAATAAATGTATAGGATCTCTTCTATCAGTTTTATGGAGAGGAGAAGCTAAACTGAAATTTCAGGTTCTAAGATAGACTTTTCACTCTTGGGCTTTACTTACTCTTATTTTTTAAAAAAAGTATATTTGTATTGATTTCAGAGAGGAAGGGAGAGGGAGCCAGAGAGACAGAAACATCAATGATGACAGAGAATCGTTGATCAGCTGCTTCCTACACACTCCACAATGGGGATTGAACCCGCAACCCAGGCATATGCCCTGACCCGGAATCGAACCATGACCTCCTGGTTTATAGGTCGACACTCAGCCACTGAGCCACACTGGCCGGGCCTTACTCTTATTTTTGAATGAAAATTCACACGGTTCCGCTTTGGTTTCTGGAAGTCGTTAGAGTGAAGGCACGTCTGAGTGTTGTACAAAACAGAAAGATGTTAATTCTTCTGCACAAATCTGCTTTGTGCTTGGTGCAGTGCCCCTGCCCCTGTCCTCATCTCCTTGCTTAGTCAGGGAAACCTCTGCAGAGAATGTGGGCGATAAAGAGCCGAATGTGCTAGAGCCTATGCCATCTTGGGATATTTTATGGCCACACATAAGAGTCTGAAATATGGAATTGGACTCAGACGTCCTTTATCCATTGGAGTGTCCGGGGGGTGAGTCAGAGGGGCTTGGTGCAGCTATTGAGGCCTCTGGAGCGGTTGCTGCTCTCAGCAGATGCGGTGGTTGCTATAATGGGGACTTTTCATGGGCGTCCAGGCTGACGGGTTTTCGTGTAGAAATGGTCATTGTTCACATAAGCAGCCACTGTTGCTTCTGGGTGCATCCCATTCAGAGCCTGCTTCCTCTTACAGGGCCGAGCCTAGTCCTCTGCCAGCTTTCATTACCCTCCATCCTCCCCAACGAGAATGAGAAGGTTGTGCAGCTGAATTCGTCCTTTTCTCTGAGATGCTTTGGGGAGAGTGAAGTGACCTGGCAGTACCCCCTGGCTGACGAGGACCCCAATGTGAAAATCAGAAACGAGGAGAACAACAGCGGCCTCTTTGTGACGGTGCTGGAAGTGGCCAACGCCTCGGCCGCGCACACGGGACTGTACACTTGCTATTACAACCACACGCAGAGCGAGGAAAGCGAGATCGAAGGCAGTCACATTTACATCTACGTGCCAGGTGAGCCGGACGGGGTCCCCACACCTACCTTGTTGTCCTGTCTCCCCTCCGTCTGTATAAGAAGTTTTGTTTTGTTCCAACCGGAGGATATTTTCCCATTGGCTTTTAGAGAGAGTAGAAGGGAAGGGGAGGGACACAGAGAGAGAAACATCGATATGAGGGAGACACACCGATGGTTTGTCTCCCGCTCGCAACCTGACCAGGGCCAGGGATCGAGCTTGTAACCGAGGTATGTGCCCTTGACCAGAATCAAACCTGGGACCCTTCCGTTCACGGGCTGATGATCTAGCCACTGAGCTAAACAGGCTAGAGCTGTATACAAGATTTTTAAAATATGAAAGTAATAAATGTTTATTGGAGAAAATTAGAAAAAAAATGGGAACACACAATATTACGTTGATTATTATCATGTCATTATCAAGAAATGATTAATTGTTAACATTTCAAAACTGAAGCTATAGTAAGTTTTAAAAAATCACTTTTCTTGTGGCATAATCTTTATTGGTCTTATACACAAGGAATCTGAAATGTGCTCATTCCTGTTCAGTTCAATCAAGTCCCACAAATGCTTAGTGTGTGTTTCCTGGGTGCCAGACATTATGTTACGTGCTGGGGACACAAATTAATTAGGCAAGCCCTATCTGGGAGTTGCTCATCGTTCATTATAATAGTTTACAAATAAACCTTTTATCAAATCAAACAAACCTTTTATCAAATCCATTAAAGCGTGTATCTACTCTTGATGAATTGCAAAGGATATTTTTGTTGTTTTTAATTAAAATTTAGGGGCAAGGCCTGGCTGGTGGGCTCATTCCAATGCACCTGAGCCACATTCCAATGCACCTGAGGGTCACCAGTTCAATTCTCGATCAAGGCACATGCGCAAGTTACAGGCTGATCACCAGTGGGGGACACGCAGGACGCAGCTGATGGATGTTTCTGTCTCATGGATGTTTCTCTCTTTCCCTCGCCTCCCTTCCTCTCTCTAAAAGCAATAAAAACATCAAAAAAAAAATAAAATAAAATACAATTTAGGGGCAAATCGCATAGTATGATCTTACCTCCTGTCCTCTGAGAAGCAGATGCTAAGGTAGGGGTAAGGTGGGATTAGCATGCCAGGGTTTTATCAGGGGAGAAGCTTATGTGAGAAAATGGGGTTGGGGAGGGGGGATCCCACAGAAGCTGGGAGAGTTGTTTGACTGAATGATAAGTGTGACTCTGAGTGAAGGGAAGGTGGGGTGGATGAGTTGTAGACCTCTAAGAAAGGCCCTGGAGTCCTCCAGCCTAAGGAACCTCAGTTCCACGTGGTCATTGGCTGGAAGCAGCCCCTTGGGCTGCGATGGATTTCAGTCCTGGCTCCTGTGGTTGGAGGAAGGTGTGTGGTGCTTTCTCACAACTCTGATTGGCTAGGCTTAGCCATGAGATTTAAAAGAAGCATTTCCTAATTTAACAATCATGATTGTTTTCTTTAGCTTGTCAACAGAGTTAATTGTTTTATTGTCCTTTTTTTTTTTTTTGGTAGTTTAAGGTTTTTTTTTTTTTTTTTTTTTTTTTAATATATTTTATTGATTTTTTACAGAGAGGAAGAGAGAGGGATAGAGAGTTAGAAACATCGATGAGAATCATCGATCAGCTGCCTCTTGCACACCCCCTACTGGGGATGTGCCTGCAACCAACGTACATGCTCCTGACTGGAATCAATCCCGGTACATTTCAGTCCGCAGGCCGACTCTCTATCCACTGGGCCAAACCGGTTTCGGCGGTAGTTTAAGTTTTAATTTCAATTCCTGGCTACTATATTTGGCATTGTTCATACTTTAAAATCATCTTCTAGCTAGTATGATGACTAGTATTAGTGGGGTGACAGCTCCTGGACATATGTGTGAAGATACATGAATACGATTACTGCCAGTGGGATCCATTTTTCTTGCATATATGAATTTATGAATTTAATACCTAATATGCTTTTCTCTCTCTCTCTTTTTTAACCATAGACCCAGATGTAGTCTTCGTACCTCTGGGAATGACAGACTATTTAGTGATTGTGGAGAACGATGATTTTGCCATCATACCGTGTCGCACGACTGACCCTCAGACTCCGGTGACCTTGCTCAGCAGCGACGGGGTGGTCCTCGCAGACTACGACAGCCGGCAAGGCTTCAACGGGACCTTCTCCGGGGGCCCATATGTCTGCGAGGCCATCGTCAGGGGGAAGAAGTTTCACTCCATCCCATTTAACATTTATTCTGTCAAAGGTAACTGTGCTCTCTCCCTCCTTGAAACGAGAGCTACAGGCCTATGTTGTACACCTGAAACTAATATAATATTGTACCTCAGCTTTTAAATTAAAAAAAGAAAAGATTACAGGCAACATAATCACATGCTTATAGTATTAAAAAAGTTTATAGTGCCTGGTGATGGAGATCCTGAATTCCGACTTGAGCATTTGGGACCTTACCTTTTTTATACAATGTTAGGCTGACCTCTGTGGCTATAGTCATACGAAGCTTAGCCTTCCTGAAGGTAAAAGCTTTCTTACCCCTGTAAGATTTCAGGTTTCATAAGATGACTTCAAAATACTATAAAGGAATCCGTTTGTTGTATAAGCCTCTTACTGTTTTATTCACATTCCTGATTCCAGAGGCCCTAACCACAAACACACACACCGAGGGGCTCTGGGCACCTAGATTAACTTCAGTAACCAAAGCAAAGAGATTTCAAAAAGGAAAGCTTGTAGTTGTTGACTCCATCCCTTTGATGTGGGGTTTAATGAGAATGGGAAAGCACAATGCATGTTTGTGTCAGCGATGGATTGAACTCTTCCACGTAGGTATGGCAGCAGCGAGAGGATGCCATTCAGCTCTTAGTACAGGCTTGTTTTATGCCAGGCACTGTGCCCGTCTCTGGAAAAGTGCTGGGAATAACTGGGAGCTGAGGAGAAGAGAGAAGGAGAGTGGTTGGTGGGATAGGAGCTAAGTGCCTAGAGCAGTGCTTGTCAGTAAAGGCTGGTTGATTAAATGAATACATATGCCAGCAAACAAGGATGGCCACAGTTAACTGAAATGCTGGGGAATGTGATGTTCTGTTTAGTTGGAATTTATTTTTTACTGTTGTTATTATGTATGTGTGTGTGTTATTTTTTGTATTATAATTGCATGCCAAGTTATGTATGCCAACTCAAAATCAGGGCTTCTGAGATTTTTAACATTTTATCTAGAACAAACTGGTTTGCAAACTGTTTCTCATAGTTTCCTTAAAATAGAAAAAAACGCCCCAAATCTTCTAAGATCCTAATATACTATGAATATTTAGGTCCTTTTTTTTTTTTTTAATAGCCACATCGGAACTTGAACTAGAATTGGAAGCTCCGAAAACTGTCTACATGGCCGGGGAAACCATTGTGCTCACCTGCATCGTCCTAAACAACGAGGTGGTTGACTTTCAGTGGACTTACCCTGGAGAAGTGGTAGGTACCCTGAGGCTCCCGGTGACATGTCAAGGAGCAGGGCTCATGGTGGGGCACGCTGCTGAGCCTCTCTGGACCTCAGCGGCCTGTCTCTGCAGCGGACACCTTTGGCTGGATGACTCTGTGGTGCTTTGAGCAGTGGGGGAGTTTGGAAGGACATTCAGTATGTATCCAGGTTGTACACCGAGCCTTCTTGTTCTTAAGTCAGAAAGAAATAGGAAGGCTCAATATAGCAACCAAACGTACTAGAAAAAGCAAAAAAAAAAAAAAAAAAAAAAAAAGAAAAGAAGGATGGACTTTAAAATTCGCTAACGGTTGAAACAGTCATTAGTTCTTTCTTTCTTGGCTCCCATGCCTTGGGGATTTACTAAATGTTGGTTGCCCGGACCCCTTCCATTTCTGCCTTGTCTGTCTCCTGCCTGCCTGGCCTTTCTTCCCACGGCTCACCATTAGTGACCAGGCATCACTTGATCACGAGCAAAGATCCAGTGATGTTTGCCAAACCCAAAGCAGTCTGCCAGAAGCCCGCCCATGCAGAGAAGGGGGAAGAAGGGAAGGAGGAGGGGAGATGCAAGTGGGGGAGGGGACCACTGTGCCATCTCTGCTCACCTGGACTTACACACAGGGTCTAATGCATTGTGGTACACGCATGAGAGAACTCAGGGCAAAAGGCAGGGACAGTCCAATGCAGAAATGATTACTGCTTACTGTGGCAGCCTCAGAGAACAAAAGGCACATATATGTATATTTTCTCCTTCATTCCTGATATACAAATTTCTGCTTTTATACATCTTCCCTGAAACATGAAGTTATTCATTTTTTTCTGTTGAGATTTGATTGCCTCTAATCCTTAAAACATAATTGAAAAACTATTAGAGATAGATACCCCCCCCCCCCAAAAAAAAAACCCCTAAGTACATGCTATTTGGCTCCCAAATATACAGGTATATAATTAATTTTTTGTCCGATAATAAAAGTAATGTAGGTTTATTGTTGAAGCTTCATAAAATATAGAGAAACAGGAAAAATGACTTTCCAGAGCATCACCATTAATATTTTAGGGAGATAAATCCTTTAAATCCTTTGTCTATATGTGAAATGTTTAATAATTAACAGACATTATACTTTAGTACTTCATTATATCCTTTTCCCTTTGGCAATATAGCACAAACTCCTCACCATGTCATTAACTATCCTTTTAAAACACAATTTTCTAAGGAGCTAGCTTAAAAACAATTTTCCAAAATCAGGCTTTATGTTTCAGAGCAGTTTAAGGTTCACAGCAAAATGGAGTGAAAGTTACAGAGATTCCCCTCCCCCTACGTCCACATGTACAACCTCTCCTCTTGTCACCATCCCCACAGGGTGGTTGGTGCATTTGTTAGAACCTACACTGTCATGACATAGTCATCACCATCCAGTTTACAAAAGGGGACATTCCTGGGAGCTAGCTTCTTAAAGTCGGTTTTCCTTCTTCAGAAAAACAAAGGTGTCGTAATGCTGGAGGAAATCAAGGACCCATCCATCAAACTGGTGCACACCCTGATGGTGCCCAAGGCCACTGTGAAGGACAGTGGAGATTACGAATGCATTGCCCGCCTGGCCACCAGGGAGGTCAAAGAGATGAAGAAAGTCACCATCACTGTCCACGGTACATCCCGCTTTCTAAACTGTCAGTGTCCACCCTGCTCAGGATCCGCTGTGCGGTAATCGTTGTTTAATGGAAACTCTCCCCTGTACAGAGAAAGGGTTCATTGAAATCCAGCCCGGCTTCAGCCAGTTGGAAGCTGTCAACCTGCATGAAGTCAAACATTTTGTGGTGGATGTGCAGGCCTACCCCCCGCCCAGGATATCCTGGCTGAAGGACAACCTGACTCTGATCGAAAACCTCACGGAGATCACCACCGACATAGAAAAGATCCAGGAGATAAGGTAGAGAAACACCCTCCCCACGAATGTCTTTTCCCTTTATTGTGTGTCTCCAGGTAGACAGGGGCCTGTGTGTGTGTCCTACAGCCCACACTAGGAGTCGGTCTAGATAATTTAGCAATCTGAGTTAGGGAGTACTGGAAATCAAATACCTTTAATGGTAGCATTGCATTGTGGTCCTAGGATATTGGTAAGTATTTAATGACAACATAAGAAGAAAGAAGAAATGAAAAGCTCTGTCCCCCAGTGAAAAACAGTTTCCAGGATCCAGTGAGGGTTGGAAAAAAGAAAAATTGGACTAACTTGGATTGAATAGATTCCTTGATGTGTGTCATTCATATTGCAAGTAATATATACGGTGGTTATAGTTGCCAGGCACTTATCACATAAACTGACATAAAACAAGTCATCATTGACTTAGTTTGAGACACATTTGCCCCAAGGAGACCTCCACGGGGAGTAAGAGTGGGGTCTGGAGTAAGAGTGGGGTCTGGGTTAGGAGAACAAGTAAAATGAAGAGTTTGGATCTCTGTCCTCTGATGAGCGTGTCCTCTAGAACGCACCCATCTCCTAACGGGTGGTGGAGTTTTGGGTGAGTCACACCTCAGCCTCAGTTTCCTCATCTATAATGTAGGGTCAATAATACCTTCTGTCCATCAAGGCAAGAAACTGGATCGTGATATTTGTGGTCTCTTGCAGTGTTAAGCTCTGATTAGAATCCAGGAGCAGAGGATACCCAGCTAATCCAGCCCCGGGCTCTTATCAGTAACCACCCACAGAGATAAACGTCTAAAGCCCCCAGGGAGGAGGAGGAGACTCTCATCAGTTCACTTAACCTCAAGACTTACTTTTTTCTTTCCGAACTAAATTCCACGTGTAATTGAGAAGCAGTGTCTGAGAAAATGAAATTTTATGACCTTGGTATAGATGATGATGGGAAAAGAAGTGGAAAATTGAATCTTGGAGGCTCTCCCTAGATATTCTTCTGGTTCCCACTATGGGCCAGAGATGAACACGATGGATGGGGTGTCTGGCTTTCTGGAGCTCAGAACTAGTGGGTCCACTAGCTTTCTTGGCTGAACAGTATAGAAAAGGAAGCTAATCAGCACCCAGGTGTGCCTAAGGATTCTCTCTAAGGAAAGCCAGATCTGGATTGTGGATCGTGTCCAGTAGGGTGCAGCTGAGGAAAAGCCAACCACATATGCTGTCATCAAGGTCCTAGTGCCCGGCATGTTGGGTTAGAAGACTCTAATTTGAGGGCACTTTTGAGTTTATGAAATGCTTCTACGCATATAATTGTATTTAATTAATCTTCTAAAGGACTGTAAGCTATGCATACAATATTTCTATGCTATGCATAAGGAAACCGAGCCATTCAATAATGAGAATTTCTATAAAGCCCAAGGTCTGCTCACCATGAAAATGTCATGAGTAGCCTAGGCTGCTCACCTTGACCAGTGCTCTTCTCCACTCTACTTGCCTTTCCATCCTGTGATGTTTTATAAAGAAGGACAAATAGGCAAATGGTATATTGATGCGCACGCGAACACACACACATCACACACACACACACACACACACACACACACACACACACACACACACACGCGCGCATGGCCAAATCTAATAATACACATGTGTAAGAATCTTTTGAGGAAACTTCACTTTAATAAAGTATGAATATATTTTTCTAGTTGACCTTTTTGAATAGGTTTGGAGTCCTGTGCTTTAAAGCCATGCACACAAAGAGGGTGCACTGTAGGAAGTCTCCTTCCACTTCTGTCCCCACCTGCCCAGTGCCCCGCTCCCATCCACAGGAAATACTTTTGCAAGGTTCTTATGAAACCTTCCAGAGCTTTTTGTTTGTTTGTTTATTTTTTAAGCAAATACAAGCAAGAAGAACATTATATCCTGACAAGCTCTCCATATCAATACGTAGAGAGCCTCATTCTTTTTTTCACTGTGTGTTTCATTGTTTGGCTAAACCACCTATATGGCTACAAAAAGGTAAAAATCAAGGTTTTTTTTTTTGTTTGTTTTTTTTTTAAAGTTGGTGAGACATGTTTATTCCCACTAATTAGTCCTTGCCAGGACTAATTTACTCTTGGAGGCACACAAGCCATTGCTCATCTCAAAAGGGTCTAGAACTCAGACCTTTAATAAGTACAAAGTGTGTTGAAGATCAAATGATTCAGATAAGGGGGAAAAAAGATAGTTCAATTGAACATGGTAATTGCTGAAGCAATTGTAATGTTTTTGGCTGCCATTTGCTCAAACAAAGTCCTTTCTTTTTAAGGTACCGAAGCAGACTAAAGCTGATCCGTGCTAAGGAGGAAGACAGCGGCCATTATACTATCGTCGTTCAAAATGAAGACGACATGAAGAGCTACACTTTTGAACTCTTAACTCAAGGTATGTTGAGGGCAGTCTGGAGATTCTGCTGGTGAGGAGAGCCTGGTACTTTTCTCCCAGGTTGGGGAGGGAAAAGCTCATTTTTGGGGAGAAGCAGGGGTTGTAGATGTCACATGTCAGGGATAGCTTTGTTGGACTTAAGGATCCAGTAATTGTGGGAGGGTTCAGACTGCTCTGGGACAGTCTGATTGGAAATTCCTAAGCTCCAGCAGCTTTCTTACCACCAATTTCTTAATCTGGCACCTGGGAAGTTCTGGGAAGAGTGAAATGATGCTTTTTGGTCTAGGTGACCTTAGATTATTCCAAGGCCTTTGGGCATTTTTACTTAGCTTCCCTGTAGACATGGCTCAGTGGCCCTTCCCAGAAAGCAGTGCCCGGATCCTTCTATATTCAGGCTTAGCACCTGTCCATTCAGTTCCTACCATGTGCCATGAACTGTCTTAGGTGGGCTCATTTACCCTCACAGTAAAGCTATGATACAAGCAGTGGCATATTTATTTTTCAATTGTTTGATCACAGATTAAAAAAAAAATCTTTAAAAGCTAATACTATTCTGCTGATGTACTTTGGTAAATGCTGCTTTAGATTTCACTTGGCTAAGTCCGTTGGTTGAATCCTAAGCTACATTAATTTTAAGAGCCTCTTTGCCTTTCAAGCCAAATAACCACAGGGGCTTTTTGCTTTCTTCACTCTTAGATTTAAAACACGACGGGGCCCAAATTCCAAAGCAAAGAAACTACGAAAGTGCTCTTAACCAAGTGGGTCTGTGCAAACTGAAGTATTATTATGCACACAACCTCCTCTTGGGTGGTTTTCTGATTTGTGGGTTTGAATGCCCCATGAGCAAGTTCTGACATCATATTCTATGTGGTAATTTTCCAGAAGTTTGGGGTCAGGAGTCATTCAATTCTGATTTCTTTCCACCACTTGCAGTTCCCGCATCTATTCAGGACTTGATCGATGACCACCATGGCTCCACGGGGGGACAGACCGTGAGATGCACAGCTGCAGGGACACCTCTTCCTGAAATTGAGTGGATGATTTGCAAGGATATTAAGAAGTATGGAGACCAGATGTTCCTTTTTCATTTGTGGGCTGAATGTTTCTTCTTTGATGCAAAGGACCTCAAGTGCATTTTTTTTTTTTTTTTTTTTTTTTTTTTTTTTTTTTGTATTTGAGATTCTTATTTGGCCCAAGTTTCATAAACTACAAGATTCTAAATGTGGTTTTTATATGTGCATGTACATGTGTGTATGTGTGTGTGCGCACACCTGTGTGCTCATGACTATGTGTGAGACAGTCTATGGCTTTCATCACATTCTCCAAGGATCTCTCATTTAAAAAGAAAACTAATTTAAAGAGCTCCTGTGACAAGAGGATTTTAACTACTCTGGCCACATTTTCACCTCACATTTCTTATATAGTGAACTTTATTTGGCAGCTAGACTGGCATGTGAACATAAACAAAAATACTGCCCATGTCACTGCTCACTACCTCATTTGCCTATTTGATGGGATTTAACTCACCCATTCTTCCTTCATCAACCTTCTCCAATGGGCACATGAACAACATGTGTCTAGAAGCCTCGATAACTTCTCCTAAAGGCAGAGACCTACCCCTTCTAAGGGCTAAGGGACCAGGTTTGGATCTTGACTGGAGCTATAATCTAGGTCTCAAAACTCAGGCAGGTGATGCTCCAACCCTATGACACTTTGGAGGCTCTTCACAGTGTAGTTAGAGAGAAGGAAGGGCCCTGGGAATTTCTGAAGGGGTAGGAAATTGGGATACTTAAACATTCTTGAAGTAAAAAACTGTTCTGTTGCTCCTGTTCAAGGCTTGGGATTGGTAGTTATATTTGATTGTCTTTGTCTCTATATTTGTGTCCCCTTTCTTTCCAGATGTAATAATGAGACTTCATGGGCGATTTTGGCCAACAACATCTCAAACATCGTCACGGAAGTCTCCCACCAGGACAGGCACACGGTGCAGGGCCGGGTAACGTTTGCCAAAGTGGAGGAGACCATTGCGGTTCGATGTCTGGCTAAGAATCTCCTTGGCGTTGAGAACCGAGAGCTGAAGCTGGTGGCTCCCAGTGAGTTGCTCATCAGTGGGGACAAGTCTAAGTCATCAGCCAAGCCCTTTCTCCCTGAGGCGGAACTTTGAGTCCAGGATGGGGTCCCCAGGCGGAAAGTCAGCTCTGATTGCTCATGCAGGGCCTTCTCCTGGCATCTGTAGGGAGTCCTTCCTTCCAAAACTGCACCTTGCAGAGGCCCCTTGCTTGTCTTACAGTGTAGCTACCCAGTCTGTCTAGTCTGAGCGTAAGAATGGAGGGGACAAGCAGGAGCTCTGCCCTGTGCTCCTTACAACAGTTGAGACAGGTTGAATTCCTTCAGAAAAAAAGTTAATGAAGCCCAAAGTAATATAAACAAAATGTAACCTTTCCAAACAAATTGAACCTAAGTTTCTGAGCTTATAGTAGCTCTCAAGCTCATTGATCAGTCCTTAGATTCCAGTTCATATTCCATCCAGAGGCTAATGTTGAAGCATCCTTAGAGAAAGCATTGCATTCCCCTGATGGAATTTTGCCCCTTTTTTTCCTAAGGGAAAAGTTAGAGTAGTGACCTATTGCCATCCTGAAAAGGAGCTGGCAGCCCTCATGCTTCTCCTCCAGAGTCAGGGATTCTGGTCCAGTCACAACCGCCCTGCCTTTCTGCCATCCTGTGTGTTCGTGCATATTTCCCATCATGCCTCTCCCTTTCTCCTCCAGCTCTGCGTTCTGAGCTCACGGTGGCAGCAGCAGTCCTGGTGCTATTGGTGATTGTGATCATCTCACTGATTGTCCTGGTTGTCATTTGGAAACAGGTAGATATTTTTCTCAATGAACTGAACATCTTTGAAGTCAGTAAGAATAATAAGGAGAGCAACTCACTTTAGCACTTGGCACAGAGAAGAAGCTCAGTAGTTGTGTGTTGAGTTACCGTTTCCGGCCACTTTGCTGCTGTCGATAAGCTTTGGTGCATTTGGGCTTTGGTAATTCAACAGTTACCTGTCTTGGTCGTTTACAGAAACCAAGGTATGAAATTCGCTGGAGGGTCATCGAATCAATCAGCCCCGATGGACACGAATACATTTATGTGGACCCGATGCAGCTGCCTTATGACTCGAGATGGGAGTTTCCAAGAGACGGACTTGTGCTGGGTAAGGTCCCACCGGGGTGATCTCCCAGGTCTCCCTTTTGATTTGTCCATAGTTTTGTTCTTTACAGGCCCATGAGGAATGAGGGATATGAGCTGTGCTAAATAACAGTGAGCCAATAGAAATTGGCTTTCAGAAGTACTTTTTGTTTTAAAAAATGAGTTGCTTGGGTCACTACAGTGATTTAAAAAAAAAAATCTCATAGCAAATTATGGTTAAAGAACATTTAAAAAATATTTTTTATTGATTTCAGAGAGGAAGGAAGTGGGAGAGAGAAATAGAAACATTAATGATGAGAGAAAATCATTGAGCGGCTGCCTCCAGTATTCCCCCTACTGGAGATTGAGCCCACAACCCAAGCATGTGCCCTTGACGTGAATGGAACCTGTGCTGATGCTCTATCCACTGAGCCAAACTGTCTAGCGTTAAAGAACATTTTATAAAAATAAATGAATATAAGGACACCTGACAAAGATACCCATCAAAATGGTTTTTCTTTAGAAATGACACAAATTGCAAATCAGATGAGTTTCTGTGACTAAAAAGGAACAGATGAAAAATGAACGAGGACAACCACAAAATATATTTTGATCCATTACATTCTGAGGATGTATTAGGTAGTCCCTTAGAATATATATTTAGAGTATCTATAATAATAAAAGCATAATATGCTAATTAGACCGAACAATCAAACGACCTTCTAGATGTCATTCCAGATGTCCTTCTGGACAAAGCCATGGTTGTGGGGCTGAGGCAGAGGTGGTTAGGAGTGATGAGGCAGGCAGGCAAGCAGTTAGGGGTGATCAGGCAGGCAGAGTGGTTAGGGGCGATTAGGCAGGCAGGCAAATTGTTAGGGGCAATCAGGCAGACAGGCAAGCAATTAGGGGTGATCAGGCAAGCAGACAGAATGGTTAGGGGTGATCAGGCAAGCAAGTAGGCGAGTGGTTAGGAGCCAGCAATCCCAGATTGGAGATAGCAGTAGGACATCTCCCAAGGGTCCTGAATTGCAAGAAGGTGCAGGCTAGGCTGAGGGACCCTCTCCCATGCACAAATTTTGAGCACCGGGCCTCTAGTAGAATATAAAACTATTGGTACATCTTAAAGGGAATGGAAACTTGTAAGAACAATCAAGCAAACTTATCACAGGCTTTTCACATATTTTAATCTTGGGCTGTGACTCACTACAGTTAAGCTTTGATGCATTTGGACTTTGATAATTCACCAGTTACCTGTCCTTATATTCTAATTCACATTTTGTGCTCTCACCCGGGGGGGGGGGGGGGGGGTGGGGGTTGCACCCTTCCTTCTCCCATCTGTGTTTTTCTTTCCCTTGCAAATGTTATACTAATTTCCTTCCCTGTGGGTCTAAATACATGAAGCTCTAGTCCAGGGGATTAAAAAAAAAAAATCACATTCTAAATGAATGAAAACAGGACAAATAAATGAAAGCTAGATCTAGAGTTTTGTCACCAGGAATATTCTAATGTACTTTGGAGGATGTTAAAGGTAGCTTTAATTCACTTGTCTGATCCTAAAATACAGCTAGGCTAGGCCTTCTTAGAGAATCACTCAACTTGAAATCAAATGAGACATCCTAGCCACTCCCAATCCAGGCACTTCACCTGGGAACTAAACTTTTTCAACTTACTTTTCCCCTTGTTTTATAAAAAGGAACAAGGAGCTGAGGGACTTTAAAGAGCAATAACGTAACAGGGCAGAAGGCAACACTGCTGATGTGCCAAGGTGCACTTCTGCACCCCTCTGCCCCCGTGGGTTCCCAGGTCTCCAGTAGCGCAGACCCGCAGTCACAGGCAGTGTCGGCTGCCGGCATTCTTCCAGAGCTGTCTTTTTTTTTTTTTTTTTTTTTAAATATACATTTTATTGATTTTTTTGCAGAGAGGAAGAGAGAGGAATAGAAAGTTAGAAACAGCGATGAGAGAGAATCATCGATAAACTGCCTCTTGCATGCACACCCTCTACTGGGGATGTGCCCGCAACCAAGGTACATGCTCTTGACCGGAATCAAACCTGGGACCTTTCAGTCCGCAGGCTGACTCTCTATCCACTGAGCCACACCGGTTTTGGTCCAGAGCTGAGTCTTAACCAGGCTTGGCTGTGTGTGCGTAGACCACCCACTCTGGGAAGCATCCCTTTCAGACTGTGAGCTCTCTAAGAGTTTGCATTTCTTTCTGTGTCTCCCAACATGCAGCAACGTGTTGGGCTCCCAGGCAGGTTTACTAACCTGTGCAGTTCCTGGTCCTCCTGACAAACAGGCAGCCAAGGGGACAGCCTAGAGTTCACTTCGCCACTCACAGTAGTCAGGGGCATCTTTCATACTGAAGTCTTTCCAGTGGGTAAGGACTTCTTGATGCAAAAGACGCCTCGGTTTGCATGTGGAAAATAGAAGGGCAGAGAACCCGGGGGTTTGGGAAAGAGCCACAGAAAGCAAGTGCAATGGAGCCCACGGTCTCTCAGCAGCACAGGAGCTGGTACACAGAGTGCTCGGGCCTGGGGGGGCTGCACCTTCCCTTTTCCCGTCTGTGCTTTTCTTTCCCTTGCAACTAATTTCCTTCCCTGTGGGCTGGATTCTGACCTTGACATGATGACTTGGAGGAATCCTTACGCTTACACAACGCAGGGAAAACACCACCCAGCTCTGCACCCACGGGCGCTGGCTGTGGTAAATAAAGCTGATGAGCCTCTGGCATCTTCGTGTGTTAATGGTTCTGGTTGCCCACAGGTCGCATCCTGGGATCTGGTGCGTTTGGGAAGGTGGTTGAAGGAACTGCCTACGGATTAAGCCGGTCCCAACCGGTCATGAAAGTAGCAGTGAAGATGCTTAAACGTAAGTGCCCTTTCCTGGGGATTGTTTTGAACATGGAGATAGTAAGTGACCTGCTCTAAATCACAGAACTAGTAAATGCCAAATTTAGGAATAGATCTTGGTTCTTTGGACTCTAGGCTTTATGTGTATTTAGACTCTTCTGTCAATTAGATTTATGTACTTTTTTTTTTTTTTGTCTGTGTGTTTGAAAATCAAGAGTTGTTATTTTGAATGACTTTTATTTTCTATTTATTTATTTATTTATTTTAATTTTTATTTTTTTAATTTTTATTTTTTATTTTTTTTTAAAGTACTTGGTGCTGACTATGTGTCAGGTCTTGAACGAAGTACTTTATTTATTTTTAATATATTTTATTGATTTTGTACAGAGAGGAAGGGAGAGAAATAGAGAGTTAGAAACATCGATGAGAGAGAGTCATCGATCAGCTGCCTCTTGCACACCCCCAACTGGGGAAATGCCCGCAACCAAGGTACATGCCCTTGACCGGAATCGAACCCGGGACCCTTCAGTCCCCAAGCCGACGCTCTATCCACTGAGCCAAACCGGTTTTGGCTTATTTTTTATTTTATTTTTTACCCTAAAGCAGGGGTGGGGAATGTCTGGCTCTCTGGCTGTATAAGGATGGCAAAATAATTTGGTCTGGTCCTACTGAGGCATTAGGCTGAGTTAATTAAATGTTTGATCAAAGTTAGCAGGCTAATTTTTAAGTTGATAATTTTTTGTATGGCCTGCAAATGATGTTTGTAAATATCCATATGGCCCTTGGCAGGAAAACGGTTCCCCACCCCTGCCCTAAAGACTGGGGATCAGGTATTAGAATCTGGATCAAGGCACTCTCCCTCTCTCTTTTAATTTTTTTTAATTTTTATTTTATTTTATTGATTTTGTACAGAGAGGAAGGGAGAGAGATAGAGAGTTAGAAACATCGATGAGAGCGAGTCATCGATCAGTTGCCTCTTGCACACCCCCTACTGGGGATATGCCCGCAACCAAAGTACATGCCCTTGACCGGAATCGAACCCGGGACCCTTCAATCCCCAAGCCGACGTCTCGGCTCCCTCTCTCTTTTAGACTCTTGGTCAACAAAGTAATATCCAAGCACAGGATGAGTCACATTTTTGGCTTTTTCAGGGAAGTAGGCGCCTCAGATCTGATATGTGTGTTTTTTTTCTTCAACAGCCACAGCCAGATCCAGTGAAAAACAAGCTCTCATGTCTGAACTGAAGATAATGACCCACCTGGGGCCGCATTTGAACATTGTCAACCTGCTGGGCGCCTGCACCAAGTCAGGTGGGCTTCCTGGCCTGGGAGGGAGGGTTTCCATAGAGCACCTCTGTTGGGAAAACCACCCAGCTTTCTAAACCCACACTCTGTACCTCCAGCCGTGCCAGCAAATACGGATCCCTGGAATGGAGTGGAGTGGGTCCCACTGAATTGATGAAAGCTCATTGTTTTTGGGCAGTATCTCTTGCCAGATAGCCATTCATTATCTGTCCTTCATTTTCATACCCGTCTCCTAACCAGTTTTGGTCCCCGCAGGCCCCATTTACATAATCACTGAGTACTGCTTCTACGGGGATTTGGTCAACTACTTGCATAAGAACAGGGACAGCTTCCTGAGCCACCACCCCGAGAAGCCAAAGAAAGAGCTGGACATCTTCGGGTTAAATCCTACGGATGAAAGCACACGGAGGTGAGTTGCTGTGAGTCATTGTTCTAGAAGCCTCAGGCACGGAGAGAACACATGTCCTGACGGACTCCATGTCTGCGGGCTCTGTCCAGCCACCCTGCCCCATCATCCCGTGACGCAGCGCCAAGAGACACAGGATATCTGCAGGTGTTTTGCATCAGAATGTCATGTGGGGAGCCTTGCTGATAGGTTTGCATGAAAGCAATAGTTGGAAAAGTTCTGGGAGCCATTTTCCTGTTTGTATGTGGTCCACTGAACACCTGTCAAATGCAGCACTTGCCAGGGATGCCTTGGGGCTCACATTTTGAGAGAAACAGAGGATTTCAAAGCTTAAGATACTGGTCCTTGCTGAACCGTGGCCTATAAGTCAAACCAATGACAGTGATCCCCACTGCAGAAACCCACAAATGGCTGTAAAGATCTCTGTAGATACGAAGTTTTATAAGTTCAGGACGTACAGCGAGTTCACTTCATATTAAATTACTCAATGGACACGAAATGGTGCTAAATTTATTGAGTAGTGGGAATTGTCTGCCCAAGGCACAGGGTCACATGGCATAGATCTGTGACCTGTGGAATGAAAAACAGCATAAAGACAGGCACACTTGAGTTGAGATGGTGTGATTATTGATTAATGCTCCTGTCCCTGACTAGACTACCCCACGTAGAGGGTGCAGATGGGTTTGCTTTTACCCAGCCCTGCTGCTCCCACGCCCACCGCACTGCCTTGCAGACTGTAGGCACCTGCGCATGACTGAAGGTGGAATGTTCACCCTCGAGGGCCACCTGGATAAAGTTCTTTTTCTGTTTGACAGTTACGTTGTTTTATCTTTTGAAAACAATGGCGACTACATGGACATGAAGCAAGCTGACACCACACAGTACGTCCCCATGCTGGAAAGGAAAGAGGTTTCTAAGTACTCGGACATCCAGAGATCGCTGTATGACCGCCCAGCCTCCTACAAGAAGAAGTCTCTGTTAGGTAAGAGCGTCTGTGCTGGCTCTTTGGGATTGTGCTCTTCCAGGGGTTTAAGATGATATTTAAACTATTGGAAGAAGGTGAGCAGGCCTGGGAAGTAGAACTGCCAGGCCACGTGGTTCCTAAATGTAGGTCTGCACAGCACAGCCTGTGACATTGAAAAGAAGAAAAGGAATAGACAGACCTAATGTAATGAATTTTTTAGACTTAAAATATAATCATTTTAAAGACTTTATTTCTCTCTCTCTCTCTCTCTCTCTCTCTCTCTCTCTCTCTCTCTCTCTCTCTCTCAGCAAAAGTATGGTGATATTGACACCCCCCACTCCCCCTAATGCTCATACTTGGCAAAATTAAAAGCGAGCAATCTTATATTGGTTCCGAATATTATTTTAAACTTTTAATTATATACGTCTCTGATATCAATAGCTCTTGCTTTTAGCTTTGCTAATATCCAACTTGTGATAGAAACTGGAAAGTGGACAGTTTGAGGTTATATTTTGTCTGACAAGGGCTTTGGGTATTTCTGCTAAATGTTTGAAGGAAGATCTGTCTGTTTCAAAGCAGATGGGCACACGTAGCAGGGTTGAATTGATTTATAAACTCCAGGGAGCCTAGCCATGCCCAGACCAGATGGACCACCTCACATCTGCTGGGGTGGCCCCTCCAGGGCTCTAGTCTAATCACAGGCCTGCAGTGCAGAGGAGGCTTTGAGATGGGCCTGATGCTGACTTGTCCTGTGATCTTGCATTATTGAATCTGAACCCTCCCATTGGTCCGTGCAAATACAAAACAAAACAAAACATTGAGCTGCTATGGAAATTGTTTTGAAAATCACTAACATGCTCCAAATGCTTTCAGAGTTCTTAAGTGAAAGGTACAATCCATTAGGAAAAGAATGTGCTCGTTCTGCAAAGCTCACTCAGTACACAATGATATTTTCCATCACTGCAGTTTCAAGTTCCATTCATTCCCCCACTGCCAAGTGGGTAAGCTTCCAAGCCCTTTTTAAAGATGAGCCAGTGAGGGCTGTCGGAATCAGTGCTTCCTCTCCACTCCTGCATTGTTAAAAATAGTTTACATCGCTTCCCAGGCTGGACCTGGCTCCAGATGTCAGGGGAGCCTGATTCATGCGCAGCCCAGGCCCTGTTGGCAGGCAGGCCGCTGCTTCCTGGCCTGCCCCTCGCTGGCTGGGAAAATGTGAATGGCTGCGGCTACTCTTCACTTGCCTGAACGTTTTCAGAGAGAACTGAGAACTGTTGGCCTAAATTCCCTCCTTCTTCGAAAACCCTGGGACCTGTCCAGATGGGACGAACCGGGGAAAATGGACACATTACAAAAGGGAATTAAATGCGAAGTCTTTGGCACTGATCTTTAAGATGGCTACCTCTAACCAGACTGGTTGGCTTTATTCATCAAATCAATAAAGTACTATGAAGGTGGCTTTTAAAAAGAAAAAGAAAAACAGAACAAAACAAAAAAACCCCAACACAGCAATTCCTAGAAGATACTTTTCCAGACTTTTGTTGAGAGAGAGAGAGAGAAAGACAGACAGAGACAGAGAGAGAAAGAGAGAGATATCAACACCAAGAAAGATCATTATATCTCAGATATAATATTTTTAACCAGATATATGTTGCTGTTGATATATTTGATTTTAAAGATAGAGCCTTTAGCGTAGTATTTATTTTTTGTTTTAAACCTACAGTTATATCATTTTAGTCATTAGCCTTAAATATGTAACATATATTTCAATCATGTCTGACTGTATTCATATCTTTAGTCTAGTCCTGTTAGTCAAGTTGCTCACAGATGTTCACTTCAATCGAAGAGCTCATGCCTAAATTCCAAAGCATATTGTCTAGAATTTGCATAATTTAGGCACCCACCTGTAAGGTCAAGAAACTCTGTAAGAAAATCCTTTTATGAGGATATAAAGGACAGCATAGGAAAATAGTCAATAATATTGTGATAACTGTGTAAGGTGTCAGATGGGTACTGGAGATATCAGGAGGAACACTTTGTGAAGTACATGATGGTCTAACCATTATGATGTACATCTGAAGTTAATACAAAATAATACTGGACTTAAACTGTCATTGAAATGTTTTTTAAAAAAAACACACAGAAGAAAAAAGAAATAATTTTAGGTGTTCTCTCCCCCCAATGCCCCTACTTGGCAAAATTAAAAGCTAGCAATCTTACATTGGTTCCCCCTGGGCTGCTCCCCAGGGGGGAAGTTTCGTGCCATCTGCCAGCACCAATACTCTCCATTCCTTTCTGCAGACTCGGAAGTCAAAAACCTCCTTTCAGATGATAACTCGGAAGGCCTGAGTTTGTTGGATTTGCTGAGCTTCACCTATCAAGTTGCTCGAGGAATGGAGTTTTTGGCTTCCAAGAACGTAAGTGTGTTCAGGGGACAAGGTCTTTCTGGACACAGGCTGCAGATCTGAGGGAGGTGAGCGGGAGGCTAGGTCCTGGAGAGGCCAGTAGCAGTGGCTGCTGCTCTCTTCTCTTCCCCAGAGCAGAGTGGGGCGTCCGACATCACCAGGTGTCTGCTTTGCTCTAGACCAGTGGGCGGTAAACTCATTAGTCAGCAAAGCCAAATATCAACAGTACGATTGAAATTTCTTTTGAGAGCCAATTTTTTTTTTAACTTCAACTTCTTCTAATGCCACTCCTTCAAAACAGACTCGCCCAGGCCGAGGTATTTTGTGGAAGAGCCAAAGAGCCGAATGTGGCTCGAGAGCCGCAGTTTGCTGACCATGGCTCCAGTCCTTTCTTGCTCATGAGAGTGGTTGGGATGGGAGCCTGGAGGTGAACTTTGTATGCCAGAACAACCTCTCCGAGGTGCACCAGGCAGCTCTGCCCGCCACCCTGAAATGGCCAGTCTTGCTGCTGTCTAGGGGCAGATGGATTGACACCAATACCATTTCTCTCTTTCTGTGCAGTGTGTCCACCGGGACCTGGCTGCTCGCAACGTCCTCCTGGCACAAGGGAAAATCGTGAAGATATGTGACTTTGGCCTGGCCAGAGACATCATGCATGACTCGAACTACGTATCGAAAGGCAGCGTAAGTGTCTCCCCATCGTCCCCATTTGGCCTGCTCACCCGCCCCCACTTGCATCTCTGTAATTGGGTGTTGCTTCCAGCCTTGGGTGCCTACAGTTTCAATATGGAGTCTACAAGTCCCATGAATGGGCTCAGGATGGCCTGGGTATGAGCCCCAACTCCAGCACTTCCTAGCACACACTATGATAAACTGTTAGGTCCTGATTTCAAATCCTACAGGAAGTCCATTTACTAGTTACTTGACTGTTCTGTGCCTCGGTTTCCCTGTCTGCAGCAGGGAAATGACAATAATATCTCCTTGGTTGCTGAGGCGGATTGAAAGAATAAATTTATGTAAAATGCACATAAAAGCACCCAGTGTTAGCTCTTAATGTGTACATTGTGCACTTGTGTGTCCATGCACGCAGTCCTAAGGAGAGCATCTCTAACTTTTCTCAAATTTTCAAGTGGCATGTATGACTCTTAAACTGTTAAAACCATTTGAGTTGATATATCTTAGAGGCACAATTTCCTTAAAAGACTCCTTCTTTCTTACACTTGAACCTTTCTGCCCATCCCTTGCACCTCTAAGTGGATGGTGTAGCCTGGGATACGTCTGTCATCTGTCCGTACAAATGCACATCACCCCATCGCACTGGATGTGAGGCAGCTCACGGGGCTGCTACATCCACTGGGAGGACACGGCTATGTCTGGCCTCTGCGTGTATGTGTGCTCTGTGATAATGACCTGAAGCTTCGGGTCCCTTGAAAGAAACCAGCGGACTTTGGTGGAGTCAAGGTCTGTTCAAGAAGGTTATGAATCTGTTACCTCCCCAACGATTTTAGAGGGCTGACGGATGCTAGTGTGGCTACTTGATAGATCCATATGCCCAGTTTGGTATTTACACAAAAGGTTGGAAAACTTCACAAAGGAGGCTGCAAAATTATCATTCTGTCAGACTCTTTGTAGTGTTTCTTCAAGTTCAAAAATGTAATTGGCTCTCCAATCCCTAGGTCTGTTCTTAATTTTGTTCCTAGCAACACTTGAAAATAGGGGACAGATCCATTCAGGGCTCACACTTTTGGTGTAAACATTCAGGATTATGTATTTTTGGATGTTATTCTTTGGAAGGACATAAGAGGCAAAACTGACCGTCCATCATTCGTCAAATTTTTATTGAGCACCCACCAGGTGTCAGGCAGTAAATAGCACACCCAGAAGACGCTCATGTGGGCCAACGTTATTGTTAGCCCAATAGAAAGAGAAGCTTTTCCTATTTCTGCTGCTGTAGATATCGGTGCATATGCTGGGTTTAATATCCTTTCTCCCTTCCTGCAGACCTTCCTCCCTGTGAAGTGGATGGCTCCTGAGAGCATCTTCGACAACCTCTACACCACGCTGAGTGACGTCTGGTCTTACGGCATTCTGCTCTGGGAGATCTTTTCCCTCGGTATGTGCCTGACATCTCTATTTGCTGGGCTGTTTAGAACAGCACTGGAGGGAACACGCTGTGTTTCTCCAGGCTCTGGGATGTAATCACTGTTGAGACACCTGGTGTGAGTCAAACACGCTGCAGCCGATTTATATGGCACATTGTGCCCGTATGACGTCTGGTGTGTGCCCTGCAGGATGAGATGGTGGTCTTGGGAAGCTGTGCCCTCACCCCTGGCCTTTCCCGTCCTCTTCTTTGGGCCAGTGCAGAGTGACTTTCTCCCCGTGGAAATGCTCCTGATGACACCCTCTCATCAGCGGCTTTTCCACTTGGGACTTTGGGTTAAGTGGGTTCACCAGTGGAGATTGGCCATTCCCTCACATCATGGTGCTAGGCGCTCAGGTGAAAGGTGGTGTGGCAAGGAAAAGGGCGTGGCTCCCCTTCCTGGTCATCATTGTGGAGGCGAGAAACCTAGTTGCTTGGTCAGTCAGTCAGTTACCAGCTGCTGAACAACACTGGTGCCCACTGCTGCCAGGTGAGGGCTCTAAGAGAGGGACGATTCATGACCTTGACCTCCATCCGACAGTTCATCCAGGGAGCTAAGATTCACACACTTAGTGATAAACTGTTGGGTCCTGATTTCAAATCCTACGGGAAGCCCAGAGAGAGGAGCAAGGAGCCCCACAGTTGTTTTGAAAGGCCTTAGGGAGAAGACTAACCTTGACCTGGCCTTGGCCATAAACATGTGAATGTTTCAGAATTTACTGTTACTCTGCTATGATAGTACTGGCCCCCTTTTTCTTAGTTCTCCCTCCTTGGATGCGATGCCACTGTGGATCACCCCAGTGTGCGTAGTCCGTTAAAAGCAGAGAATTATCTCAGTATTTCAAGGCTCAATTTTGACTTGCTTTAATTTTCTGAACAGTTCTGGTGAAAATGACTTTTTGTGGCCTTCGTGATTCTTTTGCTTTCTATTTTGCTTTGTAGATATAGATCCCGTAGTCAGAACCATTGGAAAGCACTTTTGAGCTTTTTCTAGAGTCGTAGAATTTTTGCCTAGGGGTTCTGGACTTGACCAACCTAGAAGTCTACCTAAAATTTAAGATTTGGGCAGGGAGATAACACTTCATTTAAAAAATATATATATATTTTATTGATTTTTTTACAGAGGAAGAGAGAGGGAGAGGGAGTTAGAAACGTCGATGAGAGAGAATCATCGATCAGCTGCCTCTTGCACACCCCCTTCTGGGGATAGGATATGCCCGCAACTAAGATACATGCCCTTGACTGGAATCGAACCTGGGACCTTTCAGTCCGCAGGCCGACGCTCTATCCACTGAGCCAAACCAGTTTCGGCAAGACTTCATTTTTTTGATAGAACCAGCACTTAATGGTGGGGATCCCCAAATGTTTTCTAAAGCTGCTGTGTCACCCTAGGTGATTAAAAAACATACAACATACTTGTTAATCCTGGTTGCTTCCTTTTTTTTGGCTTTCAGGTGGCACCCCCTATCCTGGCATGATGGTGGATTCTACTTTCTACAATAAGATCAAGAGTGGGTACCGGATGGCCAAGCCTGACCATGCCACCAGTGAAATGTGAGCCTCTCCCCATCTTGTGGGCCTTGTGTTCATGCCCAGTGGGCCTGTGTGTGGGTGTGTGTTGAGGGGAAGGTACCTGCTGCTCCTCCCTATGCTCATGATGTGTTCTGTGCTCCTCCAGCTACGAGATCATGGTGAAGTGCTGGAACAGTGAGCCGGAGAAGAGACCCTCCTTTTACCATCTGAGAGAGATTGTGGAGAACCTGCTGCCTGGACAGTATAAAAAGGTTTGTCTGTGGGACCCCATGTATGCACCTAGACAGTACTATGCTAAGTGAAAGAAGTCAGTCAGAGAAAGACAAATAGCATATGTTTCACATGTATGTGGAATTAAAACACACACACACACACACACACACACACACACACACACACACACAAAATAACAAACAAAAACAGAAGTAAACTCATAGGTTCATCAACCATTTTGATGGTTTCCAGTTGAAGGACTGGCTACAAAAGGGGAAGAGAGTAAGATGTGCAAATTACCAGGTATAAAAACAGTCACAGGGATGTCAAGTACAAGATAGGGAATATTGTAATAACGATGTATGGTGTCACATAGGTGCTAGCCTTATTGGGTTGATCACTTTATACATTATATAAATGTCTCATCACTATTTGATTACCTGAAGCTAATGTACTATTGTATGTCAACTGTAATTAAAAAAGAAAAAAATTATTTTAAAAAATGGAAGGTTGGGTCCCTTAGGATGGGTGGAAAGGAATAAGCAAAGGGAAAAGACAAAAGCTGGTAGTGAGTGAGTGAGCAAGCAGCACTGTTCAACACTGTTTTAAAGGAGCATTTTCAAAGGAGGAGAAGGATTATGGGATCCAGTGGCCGGGGTTTTATTGGAATGCTCCCCAGAACCCTCCCTGGTTGCCATGGTGAATGAAAACCCTCCTCTTCCCGCAGGGCTCCCCTTTCATCTGAAGGGTGCAACACCTGTAAGCACTTTACTCTCCAGATGTTTGGATATTTGAAGCTACTGTGCAGTTAGTCTCAGGGCATCCACAGCCATTATATTGCTAATTTGAATGCACTGAAATCCATGCAGAATTGGCTTTTGCCAGCTGACTGGAAGGAGCAACCTCAGCTGTTATCTGTGGCTCCAGCTGGTTTTTGTGTGGAATAGGAAACATTGTTCAAAGGAATAAATGCGATTTCATGGAACCGAGCAGGATATGTTTAATGAACGAAACAACTCTCTGCTGAGATGCGGAGATGGAAACCCAGGCACACGTGTATAATAAACTGGATTTCTTAGATTCAGATTAGTCGCCATACAGATTTTCTGTACTTTCTTCCTTCTCTTTCTCCTCAATGGGAGGCAGTGGTAGAAGGCTGCATACTGACCTAGAAGTGAAATACTTTTGTCTGTGGATTTTTCTCACTGCCATGGCAAGTCCCCAAAGTGAGGCACTGGGGAACAGACGCTCTGGTTGGAAAAACTAGGTTGGTGGAAATAGACTGGGACTAGTGTTGAAATAAGGGTGTTTTTAAATCAAAGTTCCTAAGTTTTGAGTCAGATTTCTTCAATGGTTAGCGGTGACATCAGGTATGGCGCTCCCTGTGGAAGTCTTTGTTACCTCTTATCAGAACCCACTCAAGCCGTGGAGAGGGTGTGGATGTGATGAGGCCAATGCCCACGCTAGTCCAAAGAGGGGGTGTTTATGGGGACGGACACAATCATAGCTACTAACTCAGAGAAGGGGCTTTCAGACCTGCCAGCAGAAGACTTCTGCCATTTGTGGCTCTTTATTTTCCCTTAATTTTTTTTTCAATTGCAGCTGACATTCAGTATTATTTTATATTAGTTTCAGATGTATATCATAGTGGTTAAACATTTATATAATTTATGAAATGATCCCTCCATAAGTCTAGTACCCACCTGGCACCATACATAGTTCTTACATTGACTGTTTCCCCTATACTGTACTTTACATCCCCAGGACTATTTTGTAACTGCCAATTTGTACCTCACCCTTTGTTCTCTGTATCTTTGAGTCCATTTTGCTTGTTCATTTATTTGTTCTTTAGATTCCACCTATAAGTGAAATCATATGGCATTTGTCTTTTTCTATTTGACTTATTTCACTTAACATAGTACCCCGTAGGTTCACCCATGCTGTCACAAATGGGAAGATTTCATTCTTTTTTTTTTTTTTATAGCCAAGTAATATTCATATATATTATCACATTTATCTAATTGTTGTTTCCATAGCTTGGCATTGAAAATCATGCTGGTTCCATAGCCCTGAAACTAAGTCTGTGTGAGTGTGTGGGCCCTTTAAGAAGACACCTGGGATTTTAGCAGCCTTCCATCTCCTCTAGATAAAAGGAATCCCTGCTGATTTTCACGCTAGATGTTATAGGGGCTCCTCTTCCCAGCACTGGTGCTCTGGGCTGGGGAGCCCAGTGTTGGGCTGGGACCCCTTGCTTCTCAGGGGAGTCCTCCACAGCCGAGATCTCCCTCCTGCTTTTTAATCACCACACGTGGGTGTGAGGCCAGCCTGTTTGATATCTGTGCCCTTCCTACATGGCTTCTTCTCTATATCCTTAGGTATAGGACCTCTTCTCAGTTAGTCTTCAGATGTTTCTCCAGTTGAGTGTTCTATAAGTTAGTTGTAATTTTGATGTGGTCATGGGAGGTGGTGGCCCTTTTTGCATGTCCCTCATCTCTGGGGACAGTTGACATCTGACTCTCCTTCAGTTGTCTAAATCCCACATCCGTAAGGTAATTTGGAAACACGGACAGTTAAAAGGAATAAATACATGTCTGCAGTATGGTCAGTAACGCTTGAGTAACGATGTGCAATGAATGTTTGCAGAGTTATGAAAAGATTCACCTGGATTTCCTGAAGAGTGACCATCCTGCTGTGGCGCGCATGCGAGTGGATGCTGACAACGCCTACATTGGCGTCACCTACAAAAACGAGGAGGACAAGCTGAAGGACTGGGAGGGTGGCCTGGACGAGCAGAGGCTGAGTGCTGACAGCGGCTACATCATCCCTCTGCCTGACATCGACCCCATTCCTGAGGAGGAAGACCTGGGCAAGAGGAACAGACACAGGTAGATGTGGGTGTGACCTCAGCTTCCAGCAGCACTCCCTGCCCCAGCCCTGCCCCAGCCCTGCCCCTGCCCCTGCCCCTGCTCCTGCCCCAACTCCAGCCCCTGCCCCTGCCCCTGCTCCTGCCCCAGCCCCTGCCCCTGCCCCAGCCCCTGCCCCTGCCCCAGCCCCTGTCCCAGCCCCTGCCCCTGCCCCTTCCCCAGCCCCTGCCCCTGCCCCTGCCCCAGGCCCTGCTCCTGCCCCAGCCCTTGCCCCTGCCCCTGCCCTGCCCCAGCATACCTGAAGACAGGAGCTATTGCCCAGATGACCAAGCTCCCGGCAGAGAATCTGTTTTAAGGGATCAAGATGTAGAACCCCTAGTTTTGAAAACACTTCCATTTGATCCTAATATGTTCCCCTGGGGCTGGGGGAGGTGTAGGGCAGGGAAGGATGTGCTTCCCCGGTGAGAATATTTGACTTAAGTCCTCAGGTAACTTGATCAATCTTACACAGCAATTGCGATTATTGAGATGCTATATTACTCTTTGGCTGCTTCCTTAATTAGTCATCCAGAAAGGTGAGAAGAGAGGCTAGACTGGGCTATTGGATGCCACATCAGTGCCTTATAACTCTAGCTGCAAGTTAGAATCACCTGGGGAGATTTTAAAACTACTGATGTGCAAGCCTCACCCAGACCAAAAACTTAGAATCTCTGGGAGTGGGGCTCAAGCGTGCTCTGGCTGGTTTGTGTTTTCTTTTTAACTTTGTATTATGGAAGAGATCTAACATGCACAATTCAAACCGTATTGGGAACTGACAGGTATCCATCACTTCCCTTCAATGTTTACGACCTCATGGCCAGTCTGCATGCTTAGCTGTATCTATTCCTCCACCTCTGCCCCCTCTGGAGTATTTTGAAGCACATCCAAATATCATATCATTTCATCCAACATATGAATGCGCCTACTTCCACCCTCGCCCCCCTGCACAATTCAGCCTGTAAGAGAGAGGGGATCCCCGAGCTGGGATGCTCTAGCTTTAGGCAGGCAGAGTCAGTGTGGTGGCTCAGGATGCTTGGCCTCAGGAGGGGCGAGGGCAGGAGGAAGACAGGGCCTTGCTGTAGAGATTTTAGGAATTCTGGTCAGAGCCAATGGGAGCCAGGTCCTGGGCTGTAAGACAGGCATTGTGGCTTGGGAACCAGCTGTAATCCCAGTTGTCAGCTCCGCCATGAAGCCTGGGGAGCAGCAGGGATAGTCTGTGCTCAGTTTCTATGGGAGTTAGCTTTGGTGCCCACACTTCTGCCTTCTCTTTGGGAGATGGCCTGTCAGAGAGAGGAGCACAACAGGCCCAGGAGGGCCAGTGCCAGGGAGATAGACTCTCTGTGGAATTTGCCCCCAAGGAGGGGGCCAGCAGTCCAGATCACAGCATCTAAGAAAGTGTCATAAATGCACGCCCCAGCTGAGCTGGGCCAATAGCCAAGGGGTGACTCAGGCCCCTAGTTATTGGCAAGTCCCAGGAACACTCAGGTGCCAGGGGAGAGGGGATGTCAGGACTAGATGGTTATCAAGATCAGCCAAGTGGACTGGGGTTCCCAGTGAGGTCCCAGGACCAGGGTGTAAGTAGGGATGTGGGGTGGAATATAAGGTAGTAACCGAGGCAAAAGCTCACCATAGGAAAGGGCCCCATCTGTGGGGCTGGGAAAGGAAACTTAAGTCCAGTAGCCATTGATTTTAAGTTCATGCCAGGCCTCAGGGGCCTTGAGGTGGAGGGCAGCAAACTGTTCCCCAGAGGTTTCTACTGGGCCAGGCTCAGTTTTCTGCGTGGAAGTGATATGGAGAGGAGGGGACAGGGCTGAGGAGTCAGGCTGGTCTGGCAGCAGGAAACAGCTGACCGGTTGAGCCCCCCTGTGGTGTGTGTGAGAGCCGCCTCCTCCTGGCTGACCAGCCTGTAGTGTGCTTTAGATGCTGTGTAGTTAGCATGGTGCTGCTGCCACTCAGTGAGGAGAGGACACCCTTCCTGCCTGTCAGCAGGTGGTAGTCTGCTTAGAGCTAAAAGATACCGGTATACATAAAAATTTAGCAATACAAGGCAGGAGAACCACAGAATACTAAGAGTACAGAGAAGGAAGGACAGTCAGGGAATTGTGACAGGCTGATTTAGGGAAGATTATTTTCCAAAGTTTTGTGAAAAATTTTAAATGTCCAGAGAAATTGGGAAACTACATTTCCAACTTAGATTTAGCAGTTGTCAACATTTTGTCACATTGCTTGTTCTATCTATCTATCTATCTATCTATCTATCTATCTATCTATCTATCTAATAGGTGTTGTGTGTTTCTTTTTTTAAAAAATATATTTTTATTGATTTTGTACAGAGAGGAAGGAAGAGAGATAGAGAGTTAGAAACATCGATGAGAGAGAGTCATCGATCAGCTGCCTCTTGCATACCCCCCACTGGGGATATGCCCGCAACCAAGGTACATGCCCTTGACCGGAATCGAACCCGCGACCCCTCAGTCCCCAAGCCGACGCTCTATCCATTGAACCAAACCGGTCTTGGCAGGTGTTGTGTGTTTCACAAGCATGCATACTCATACTTAACCAAATTGTTTGAAATTCTATCACACATCCCTTCAGATTAAGGATTCTCTCCTACATAACCACAATAGCATGGTTACGTATAAGAAAATTAAACTATTTCCTGATATCATCTAATATCTAGGCCCTATTTAAATTCAGGTGAGTGTTTGAGTACTAGCAATAATAATATAGCTAACATTTATTGAGCATCTATTATGTCTAGGCATCGTGCTCAGTGCTTTATGGTTATTACCTCATTTAATCACCCCAACAAATAGGAATATTGCCCGGCACCATTGTCATCCCATTTTACGGGCAAGGGAACAAGTTCATGGGGTTAAGTGACTAATGTCAAGTCCCATAGCTGCTAAGAGACCATTCCAGACCTAAGACGTTCTGACTCTAGAATGTCCCCTCTATGCCACTAGCAAGTAAAAGAGCCTTCACGTGGGCCTTCAAAAGGAGGGGAAGGTGGGCATTCCAGGCCAGCAGGGTGACAGCCTGAGAACACAGATTGGACATTCAGGAGGTTTCAGGGAGAGCAAGGGTCTGGCCTGGCTGTAGTTTGTTTGCCCCTAATTCATCCCTCTGCTTTTTCCTTCCCCATGCCTTTTGACCAGGCATTACTTATTTTCTCTTCCAGGATTATTGAGTTAGGAAAGTAGACATTGTCTCAGCTTCTTAGCAACTTTGATGAAATATTTAGCAGAAGAGAAGGGAAGCTAAAGTGTGGACATGACCTGCGGACCTTGGTTTTCCAGGTGGCCCACTGCAGTGTGATGGGTGATGAGTAGCTGCCTGGCTTGGTGGTAGAATCTTGCCCAACTGGGTAGCCCAAGTTTGAATACAAAGGGTCTTGCCAGAAGAGCTCCTTTGCCTTTGGGGGTCACCCTGGAAACGCTACCGTGGTCAGGTGGGGTTGTACGTGGCCATAACCTTTCCTTTTCTTTCCCTCCCCAGCTCACAGACCTCTGAAGAGAGTGCCATTGAGACAGGTTCCAGCAGTTCCACCTTCGTCAAGAGAGAGGACGAGACCATTGAGGACATCGACATGATGGACGACATTGGCATAGACTCCTCAGACCTGGTGGAGGACAGTTTCCTTTAACTTACGGATTCGAGGGGTACCTTCCACTTTTGGAGCCGCCGTGGATCCTTTTGAGAAAACCACTTTATTGCAATGCAAAGTTTGAGAGGAGGACTTGGATGATGTGTAAAGAGAAGGTCCCAGCCCAGGGCCTCAGGGAGCCTTCTACATGTGAGCGAATGGGACATTTTGAAATGAACTTTTTCAGCGTTGCCTCTTGCAATGCTTCAGTAGCATCTCAGCGTGTGAAGTTTGGAGGTAGTTGGACAAGGAAATAATGGACCACACAAGACGAACTTTGTGTTTCAAGGCATTGGTGAGATTCCAACATACACATGTTTTTGTGGCAACAACACTCCAGCATTGTAATTATGTAAATAACTCTAACCAAGGATGTGTGTAGTTTTGTATTAACTATCTGCTCTGGACCTCTGAAGAGACCAACCACTCAACCCATCCATGTACTTCCTGCTTGGAACCTGGTATCAGCTGCTGTTGAACTTTCTAATGAAGTACATGCAAAACCACTTTTGAACCTTAAAAGGTACTGGTACTATAGCATTTTACTTTTTTTTTTTTTTTTTTTTTTTTTTTTTTAGTGTTAAAGAGATAAAAGCTAATGATTAATCAACCTTGTTTAATAGATTTGGGTCATTTTAGAAGCCCAACATCTCATTTTTATATTGTAATCTATGTTTATAATAATACTACTGTTATCAGTAACGCTAAATGTGTAATATGTAACACGTTTTCCCTACAAAGAAAGCACAATTTTAAAAAAAAAATCCTTACTAAGTAGGTTGACAGTTTTTGACATTTATATTAAATAACATATGTTTCTCTATAAACTATGATAATAGCTTTAGTGGGTTAAAGTTAGTTGAACATAGAGAACCAAGTAAAAGCAGTGTCTTCCAGGAAGTCAGAGTTTTTACCTATGTATTGAATAGGTCCCCTAACCCCATTGTACTAAAAACAACTAACTACCCTCAGAAGTGATGGGATTGGAAACAGACAAGCAAAACCCTTGAATCCTGAATATTCTCAATAGGAAGGCATCAGCCTATGACTAACACGACTTCTTACGGAAAATACAATCATCAGCAAGAAGATGGCATTTGCAGAGATTTTATTCATGCCTGGTGACAACTTTGGTGGACCCCAACGTATATGTTTTAAAAATTCTACAAACCCTAAAAGAGTTGGAAGAATACCCTGAACATGAGCCCTTTTTCTCTTCTCTCACCGCAATGAGAAATAGTGTGAAACTCTGAGCCCATAAAGGCATCGCCTAATGACAGCTGTGTGTGCCTTCACCTGGATCTTTGGTTCCCAAATGGAACTGGCAACCAGAATCCCCTGATGCTAAGTCCTTGTCCCAGAGATTCTGAATGATTAAATCTGGAGGGGGAGGGAGATGCAGAAACCTGTATTTTTATAAACACTTTGGCTGTTCTGATCAGCCGGGTCTGGAAAATACCAGGGTAAGTTACAGGAAACAGCCATGGGGGGAAAATAATTTGAAATTAGGAATTGGGCTACTGTTGAAATCTGGCCTTTGGTCCATGCCACTTTAATGCCACCTACCTGGCAATTGCTCTCCTTAATTTAACTTTTCACTCTTCACTGAGGCTCAGCATGCTAAATCTTGGTTGGCAGGTCTTCTGAAAGTGAAGGCACTGCTTCCCACAGCATGGGGGAGCTGACCTCCCTTTTCCCCCAGACCCTAACACGCATGTACAAAAATGATGCAATTTAGTGAGCTAAGTCTCTAGAACCAGGCCAATATTTTGGTGGAAAAAAAAAAGTTTTTCTGATATTTTTGGGGTGAGATGGGAGGACAAATTGTCACATCAATCCAAACTGTCAAACTGGTTGGCTTGGGTTCATTGGCATTCTTTGCAATAGTGCTTAATCTCTGATACCCTATGAATGAAACATGGGCTGTGATTACTGCAATCACTGTATACGCTCCTGACAGGTGATGCTTTGAAAGATGTAAAAGCAATAACAAGGTACTTGACTACCTACTGGTGTACTCTCAATGCAAGCTCCAACTTTCTTATCCACCTTTTTCATAGCGTGAAGACTGAGCCAGATTGGCCAATTAAAAAAGCAAACCTAACTAGGTTCTGTAGAGCCAATTAGACTTGAAATACATTTGTATTTCCAGAATCACAGCTCAAGCATTCTGTTTATCACTCGCTCTCCTGTGTGTAGCCTTCTTCTGTTGGCGCTTTGCATTTTGATGTTCCTTTGAGTCTTGAGTGACATCAACAGGCTGGAGAAGATTTTCAGTCCAGCAGGTTCCAATCCTAACAAATGCGCTCACCTGAGTTTGTGTGTAATTTGCATTTTTGTTTGTTTGTTGTTTTTTTTTGTAAAAAAAACAAAACAGCATTTTCAGTGTATCACAGATTTGTTTCCTTATGGCCTACTGCAAATTCCCCAGATGAAAATTCGCCAATCATTCCTGCTTTCTGTGTTTATGAAGACAATCAAAGCTGGCCTGAGAAATGAAACTTGTGGCTTTTAAAATGATCTATGCTGTCCTTAAAATGTGGTCTGCCAACCTGTAACAAAATGGTCCTATTTTTGTGAAGAGGGACGTAAGATTCAATGATGTTATACATCAATATGTATATATGTATTTCTATATAGACTTGGAGAATACTGCCAAACAGTTATGACAAGCTGTATCACTGCCTTTGTTTATATTTTTTTAACTGTGATATTCCCCCACAGGCACATTAACTGTTGCACTTTTGAATGTCCAAAATTTATATTTTAGAAATAATAAAGAGAAAAATATGTAAGTGTTCCCGAAACAGTGGTGTGGTGAATGTGTGAGAAGAACTAACTCGATAGGAAGGGTCTACAGATGCAAAATGTATTGCAAGTCCCCGTTCATATTTCTGTTTTTAAACGTGTAAATGAAGATCTTTATATTTCAATAAATGAGATATATATATAATTTAAAATATTGCTAAGGTTCCAACCTTTTTATCTTTAGTTTAATCATATAAATTAAAGCAATCCTATTCAACTTATTTTCTTAGCAACATTCCCAGTAGGACTCTGTATTATGGTTTTGATGAAACCAATAGAAAACTTAAGATGTAAACTTTATGTAAGCTAGTCAGTTCTCAGGCTTAGCATTTGACTTAAAGATGATTGGCACTTGGCTAATCTTTGAGCCTATTTTTAAAAAAATATATTTTTATTGATTTCAGAGAGGATGGGAGAGGGAAAGAGAGAGAATACATCAATGATGAAAGAGAATCATTGATTGGCTGCCTCCTGCATACCCACTTCTAGGGATCAAGCCTGCTACCTGGGCATGTGGCCTTGACTGGAATCAAACCCGGGACCCTTCAGTCTGCAGGCCAAGGCTTTATCCACTTAGCCAAAATGGCTAGGGCCTTTGAGTCTATTTTTGTTTGTTTATTAGTGATAATAGCATATTATTATTTTTAAATTTTTTATTTTTATTTTTCAATTACAGTTTACTGTCAATATTATTTTGTATTGATTTTAGTTGTACAACATAGTAGTTAGACAATCATATGCCTTTTTAAAAAATATATTTTTATTGATTTCAGAGAAAAAGGGAGAGGGAGAGAAAGATCTAGAAACATCAGTGATAAGAGGGAATTATTGATCTGCTGCCTCCTCATGCCCCCCACTGGGGATCAAGCCCGAAACTTGGGCATGTGCCCTGATGGGGAATCGAACCGTGATCTCCAGGTTCATAGGTTGACACCCAATCACTGACCATGCCCAGCCAGATGACAATCATATACTTTAAAAGTGTCCCCCTGATATTTCCAGTACCCATCTGGCATACTTATTACAATATTATTGACTATGCTTTCTATGCTGTGTTTTACATCCCATGACTGTTTTGTGACTACCAATTTGTACTTCTCAGTCCCCTCACTTCTTTCACCCAGTCTCCCAGTCCTCTCCCCTCTGGCAATCACCAGTCTGCTCTGTGTATATGTATTATAGCATATTGCTGTGTGATGTTTTCCTGTGCAATATAAAGAGTACAGGACTGCATTTATTCTGGACAGCATTCAAGCATGATAAATGCATAAAGTACAGAGTTAAAGTTTTTCCCACCACATCTTCCCTGTCCCATTTCCCAGAGGCAGGACTGCGTCACTGGGTGAGTGTTTGTGTATCCCTGCAGTCCCCGTTTTGTGCATCTGCTGATACACATACCCACGCATACCTCAGCGATACTGCAGGTTCGGTTCCAGACCAGTTGTAATTTTCGTTGTTGCTGCTGGTATAAGGTCTTTCCTTTAATTTGTAAAACACGCAACAGCTGGGAAGTGTAATAAAGCTATTTTGGCTTTATATTTAACCTAGATGGGATTGTACTTTAGATAATGCTTTTCTCTTTTTCTTTTCTTCTTAACGATACTGTAGACTATTTTTTAGAGCAATTTTTAGTTCACAGCAAAATTGAAAGGAAGGCACAGGCCCTGCCCGCCACACATGCACAGCCTCTCCCTTCTCGCTATCTATCCCCCACAGAGGGGCACATTTGCTACAATTGATAACATATCATTATCCCCAGAGTCCACAGTGCTTTGTATTGTAAATGCTATATTTAAAGATCTCTGTGAAAAGTGTATATATATATATATATATATATATATATATATATATACATTTCCCTCATTTTTATCCATTGCATAGTAGCCCACTGCATAGTATCCTACTATGTAAATATGTTATAATTTATGCCCTCATGTTTCTATTAAATGCATTTATATTTTCCAGTTCTTTGCTATTAAAGTGCACATGGAGTAGTGCTTTTTAATCATATATTTTTATTGATTTTAGAGAGGAAGGGAGACGGGGAGAGAGATAGAAACATCAATGATAAGTGAGAATCATTGATTTGTCACCTCCTACATGCCTCCCACTGGGGATTAAGCCTGCAAACCGGAATCAAACTGTATCCTGGTTCAGGTTGACACTCAACCACTGAGCCATGCTGGCTGGGC